TTAAGTACCTCAGTCAGTGTCACACATTAAAAGAGGTGTTTGGACACTGGTAACCTGATTTCATAACATAAAAGTGTAAAATACTGTCAGAGTTTGGAGAAAAAAAAAGATTAGCAGTGTACTGTTAAACCAGCTCTCTCACAGTAGAGAAAAAAGCAAAAGTTCTGATTTGTAGCATATGCCGATTTCCAAGTTGGAAATGCTCCCACCATGGACTTTGAGATGCCAGTGTGACATCTACTGGCTCCAGGAATTCCTGAACCTTAACAATCAGCTCTGGCCGCTTCAACACAGTACTGTTGGAGAGAACCAGCCCATCTATGTGGCTCAGGGGCTTGCCAAAGATGTGCAGCAGTGGCAGTGGTATGAATTGGCAAGTTATTATGATGCACAACAGGGACAACATTTCACTGCAGGCACATGAGAGGAAAGAAAAAGAACCTGGACAGTGCAAAAGAATGATTATGGTTTGGGAGGAAAAAAAATTGAATTTAAGCTCATTTGGCAGAGAAGACCAGGAGCCAGATGCTGAAAATGATTTGAACTTGATCTAGGAATTTTTGGTATTTAAAAACAAACCAAAAACCTTCCTTATTAAGATAGGAATTTGGCGGCAGAAACACTTGTTATTTACCTTAATTGAGAGAGAAAATATACAAACCTATAGCTACATTTTCTGTTTCTGTGAATTCATAGGAACTTTCCCACAGAAACATGTCTGAGCTTTATTGGAAGGTGAATTCGACTGCTCATTTAGCTGCCTTAAATCATTTCTAGGTTAAGATATTATATATGTATATGCATGCATAAAACATACATATGTATATGTAGAGAGACATATATATGCAATACATGTACATACATAATTAATTCATCTATGAGGTATTAGGTGAAGCATCATTTGGTACATTGAAGTATCCAGCTTTACATTTTCCAAATCTCCACTAGCCCAGTCTTTCTAATGTTCACCTTCTGGAACCATGCAGATTGCAAAGTGAATGAAAATTACCTGTCTATGGGTGTTCATCAGACACTGAAGAATACAGTTGGGTTGCAGCAGCTGTTATTTTCTGGCAGAAACCAAATCATTTGGAATGCTGCAGAATGAGAAGCTTCCTGTCAACTGGTGGCACTTACCACAAGGGAGCAGAGGCCTTTTTATGCCTGCTTTTAATCTGCAAGTCTAGGAATTCATTCATTTTTCTTACTCAGCAATGTCTACTTTTCTCATTAACAAGAAAAATCTATGAACAGATTGACTGTGTTGTTCCTGCAGTGTATGGAGAGACACATGTTTGCATATGGGGGTGAGATGGGTAGAATTGGCTCCTTTTTAAGATTTTCCTGTAGTCTTCTGTTTAACCTGAAATAAGAACTTGGTAGTAGAAATGTACAGAAAAGATTATTAGTCTGTGCTAGAAGGATAAGATTCTATTATTTCAGAGTAAATTAAAGATAGCCAGAAATGCTGTCAGATTCTGGCATGATGAAAGATAGGTTAAAGTTAAAGGAAAGACACAATAGTTTCAATTACTTTGGATCTTATAATGTCAAAGTTGTGAGACTCTTTGTTGCTTAACAAGTAGAACTGGTTTTAAGCCCTTTATACTCAAGTTCTTCTTGATGAAACAGAAATATGAAAAATTGCTTCTTCATGGGACACAGAAGGCTTTGTAAAATACAGTGTAGTTTTCTGTGGTTTTATATGAGATTCTGCTTTCTACTCTTGCACAATAGCTGTGCTCCACCTTCATACCTTCAACTATGTTAGAACTTCTGAGAAGCTGAAGCACCACATACAAGAAAGTCTGAAGAATAATGTCACTTGGGTTCACATTGGTCAGTTGTCTTTGGATTGTTTTGTATATTTATCTATCTATTATCTATCTATCTATCATCTATCTATCTACCTATCATCTATCTATCTAAATGTCTTTTTTCTTTAATCGGGTGATACTTGAATTATAATCTTAGTTTAGTCATTAGAGTTCATGAGCTTCCAGAAAAATCAGCATCTCATAGTGTCTTTTCAAGAGTGTTTGTGAAGTTGGCTTCTGATTTTATTCTGTTAACTTTATTACATAAACCAAGGAACTCATACTCTCATACGCCTATTGGATAACCTGAAGGATGCCTGTATTTGATCGAAGTGTTGCTTTATGTTCATTTATTTTTATTTATTCATTCTCTTTGCAGTGGCCAAAATGGAGGAAGCAGCAAGATAACTGCCCTGTTTAGAGACTAGTATTTCATGGTCTAACACCAGTTATTTTCCAAGAAAGTCAATACAGTTTCCCTCAGTTACTTTTTACTGAGCACCTATACAGTAATAAACCCAATGATAGATACCGTCAAATCCCTGAAGTCTAGGGAGTGTGACTGTCTTAGTCTGTTTGCGCTGCCCTAACAAAATACCTGAAATGGAATAGTTTTAAAGCAATATTAATTTATTTCCCAACATCCTGCAAAGTCCAAGATCAAGGTGCTGGCAGATTCATCCCTTATGAGGGCCCAGGCTCTACTTCCAAGGTGGTAGCTGGATTATTATTTTCTCACACGGTGGCAGATGGGCAAAAAGGGGACAAATACCATGTTCTGTCATGGCAGAAGTTATGGAAGGAGTCGAACTCACCTCTTAAGTCCTTTTATAAATTACCAATTGCATCTACGAGAGCCCTTATGGCCTAATAATTTCCTAAACATTCCATCTTTTAATACTCTTGCATTGGGGACTGGGTTTCAATATGAATTTTATTTTAGAGAGGAACACAAACATTCAAACTATAGCATTGACAAACTAGTTTTCTTTTAATCAGATCATATGCCTTGTTACTACTTAAAAGTATAAACGGACTTCCAAGGAAATTTATCCTCCTTTTACAAAATGGTATAATTTCTCTAGCTACATAAAATACTTCAAACCTCTCTTCATCTGGTTTATTGATGGATTCTTTAACAAATATTGTGTTAGCTACTATTAACAATTTGTAATTTAAAAAAAAGTATTTGAGAATAATAACCTTTTCTGCATTTTCTATTTTGTTTATTAAAAATGGCTAATGACTTTTGCAAGAAAATTTAAAGATTCAATGGCCTCATATACTGTGATATGTAAAAACAAACAAACAAAAAATGAAAAAATGGATCCAATGTCTGCATACTATATAAATAAAAACATTGCTGAAAACTTTTATTTGAATTAAGGTATATTACAGGAGGTTTTTTTTTTATTCAATTATAAAACTTTATACTTTGGTTAAAGATCTTGACATTTTCCATTTTTCCATGTAAATAATAAAGAGTTCTATGGACAGACATTACTAATGTATAAAATGCTGTTGCAAGTTAAAAATAATTGGAGATATAAATTTTAATATAGTCATGTAAGGAGCTGTTTGAATCTTCTCACTAAAGTTATTTCTTGTCATACCATGAAAGCTAGAGAAGAAAAATGTGTTCACTTGAGCTGATATTCAGATAAACTCAAAAGATTGCATCCTTTGAAATTAGACAAAAGTGAGAAAGGGGCTCAAGATAGTCTTGTTTTGTCCAATCAAAAGTCCTCAACTTAGCAGTATGAAGTCTAAAAATAATGGGCCAGGTTTGCCTCCTGTGGGATTGAGTGTACGTATTCTGCATATTCCCATATATATGATTTAGGGCATAAATATTATCCTTTTTAAATAAGGCAGAGCTATGAAAAATTCAGATATTTTTGTTTAAAACTTCACAAACTTTTTTTTGTTGTGAACTGGCAATGTGTGAGGATTTAAGTTTAGTTTGAAGTTTGGTTAATTTGAAAAATTACCCATTTACTAAAAATTTTGGTGGGTATGACACCCCATATCACTTACTGTGTTCATAGTTTTAGGTTTTCAGTTTTCCAGAGTATTTTCAAAAGATAAATAGAATTTCATTAATAAAGACTTTAAATTCCAAATTTTGTAGTTTAGAGTGACAATTTATATACATTTAGTCATATTTTTAACATGCATTGCTGCTCTGAGTCACTCAACAGAAAAGCTTTTTTTCTGTTGAAAATTACATTTTCTTATATTTATATTGGGCTTTCCGCATTTGCAAAATGCTTTCACAGCAATACTTTGACCAATGCCTGTTGCACTTGAATGAAAATATGAATGAATTTATTGTCTCATTTTACTCTGACAACTGGCCTTTGAAATCCAGTTTTATTACTCCTGTATTTCAAAAGAGGAAAGTGAAACTCCAGGGCCACAGGGCTTCTACTGGTTCTCTTGCAAGAACAGAAACTCAAATGGAGGATAATCTTATTCTCATCCCTGTTCAATTTGCTCACATTTTTAAGTAATTAAATTGCAAACACCATTGTTCTTGTTGCTTTCTATTCCAGACACTACTGTATCATGGATCTCACTGTCAAACATGTTTCAAACTTTTAGAAATGCCCATTTAACTAAAATTTTGGTAAATAAAACTTTTGCTAATTCAGCAAACATGTATTGGGTGTCTGCTATGTGCAAGGTACCGAACAAAATGGGCACAGATCTGCCCTCTTGAGGGTTATACTGGAGAGCGGCCAGAGAGTCCAACATTGTAAGTAAATCAATGATATATTAGCAGGTACTCAATAATGTTCAGGAATAGGGAGCATGGATGTGGAAGTGTTAGACTGCAAACTTAAAGAAGGTAGCCAAAGAAGGTTTGTCTTGCAACATGTTGTCTGAATAGAGATTTGAAAATAGTGAAGGAGCAGGCCAAGTTGCTGTGTGGGTAACAGGTGTTGTAGACAGAGAGAAGACATGTGAAGCTTTGGTACAGGGTGCCCTGACCGGTAGGAGAAGCTGGACGAGATGAAGATAACTGAAGCAGACGTGGGGATTATAGGTGATGAGGTCAGAGGAGAAGGCTTGGGGGAGGACAGTGCTAGGTGGTGGAGGTGACTTGAAGGCCATGGTAATAACTGTCACTTTTACTTGTAGTGAGATAAATTGTGTTGAGCATAATTTATGTTCCAGCAGGACTGGTTCACTGTTGTGTTGAGAATAGATTTTGGATGCCATGGTGAAAGCAGGAAGACCAATTTCAAAGATATTGGAATAATTCAGGTGAGAAATGATGATAAGATAAATAAGGATAGTAGAAGTATCAATGGTAATAAGTCAGTCTATTTTTAGTGTCTCACTTATGAGATTTGCTCATGGAATAGATGTGGGGTGTAGGAGAAAACAACAAATCAAAGATAAAGTATTTGGCCTTAGCAACTAATACTATTGGAGTATCATCAATTGATATAGAAAAGACTGTGGGAAAAGCAGATTTGGGAATGAAGGGAGTTTGCTTTTACCATGTTTGGTTTAAGAAGCCAGTTAGCCATCAAAAGGAAATACATAAATTGTTTGGATATAAGAGTCTGGAGTTTAGGGGACTCTGGACTAGATATATAAACTTGGCAGTTCTCATGATATACAAATGGTATGTAGTCTTGACATTAGATAGGATTACCTATGGTGTGAGTTTATATAAGGAAGAAGAGACATCCAAGAATAGGATTAAACAGGTTTGTTCAGTTGTTTCAAAGAGTGAAGAAATATATTTATTTGCTGATGGGAATAAACCAGTATAGAGGGAATGGCTGTTAACATATGAGAGAGAGGAAGAATTTCTGGAGCAATGCCTTGAATAGGCATAAGAAATAGGATTTAATGCAAAGTGAGATGGGTTGTTTGCAGGTACAGACAGTTTACAGTAATAAGAAAAAAAGAGAGAATTACAGGTGGACATAGTGATGAGAATTCAGAATTCTTGTATTTTCCTAGTGAAATAGGAAGTAAGGACAGATGCTGAACATGAAAAGAAGTGGAGAGGAAAGTTGCTGAAGATTTCAGAGGAGAACGTAGAAAATCATCATATGGAGTGAATGCACTTGAGAAAGTGAGTGTGATTATTGGCCAGAAGAAAGAACCTATTTAGATTCTCATAGGCATTAATTTAAAATCATGCTAGTCAGCAGAAATTTTGTGGGTTTTTTTTTTCTTTCTTGTGTGGATGTAGACATGCAGGAGTAGAAAATTGTATTTAAACCAGGACTGATATGGGAAAAAAGGAAAGTTTGTGCATCGTTGCTGCCTCTGGCAAATCTTGTCCAAAAGGGGGAAAATGAGAACTAGAAATAAAATTATAAGCCTCCCAACTTGCTATCCAAATGTCACAAAGAAAAAAGAAAGAAAGAAAGAAATAAGCCTCCCAACTGACTGAACAGATTATCTCTTGGCCAAGGAGACCCCAGAGTAACCCTGAAAACTAAGTTCTCAGCCACAGCAGAATGAGGGATCAGACAAACCTCATTATACCTCTTCCCTTGCAAACCACAATTAGTCTTTCTTCCCTAAAAGCCTATCAGGAACCAGCTTTTTCAAAAGACCCCACTACTGGCATCAACAAACCACCTGACGCTGCCCGTTTTTTTGCCTGATAAGAGACCACCAACCATGGAGTGGTTCTGGTCAGATTACAGAGGATGTACATGAAATCTTTTGCATCCTTTGCTTGACTTTTTGATGCCAGAGGGCCAAAAACTGTATCCTTTATATATCATGCTAACTTGACCATTTTTTGATCATGGAGCCCACGGAAAGGCAAAAAGCTTGATTGTATGTATGCACGTCTGCTTTTCATAAATGTTAACAACTCTTCCTATAGGTTATTGAACATGTATATTTGCTAAGCATAAACTATTCCCTTTGCCCCTCCTGCAAAGGGTCTGTTTTTGGCTTCCAGCCAGAAGCTGTGCTTCCCATTCTGTCGGAATTGTCACTCTGCAGGCTGCAACCCTTTATTAGAAATGAAGCTCTCCTTTCCAAATTTAAAAATAAAAATAAACCAGGCCTGGGACTTTCTCAAGCTAGTGTAATGATGTAAGGGAGGTGACAGGAGTAAAGTATATGGAAGGAATAATTTAAAAGATTAACCATAGAGTGCAAGTGTACTAAAGAAGAAGATGAAGCTATGAGAGAAGGGAAGAGTTTGGTATAGGTGTTCTGATTTATGAGATGGAAGTATCTGTTGACCGAAGGGTTGTTGGAATCAGTGACCTAGAGAGAATGGACTGAGAATATAGGAAGCAGTGGTCATAAAACAGAAAACTTGGAATTGAGGTTATGAAATTATTGAAAAAATAATTATAAAGTTTAGTGAATGACCAAGAAGTGAGTGACTGAAGTAAGGTAGAGAACAAGGTCATTGGAGGAGAGGAGTTCAAGGAACCAAGAGGCCAGAATATTGGAGGGATCATCTTCATATATACTGAAGTTGCTAAGAAGCAAGATGGAAATAGCACTGAAGAGTTTGACTTGATCCAACAGGTGAGATCTTTAGATAAAAGAGGGAGAGTTGGCAGATGATTGGTATAGTTTGATGACATGAAATTCAAAGCTGATTATTTTGAGAGAGGAAGAATTGTCAGAATGCATCAAAAAGGAGCAAGGGTACCCAGACAACCTTAAGTTCAGTATTGTGATTGACGTAGGAGGCAAAATTGCTGCTATTAGGAGCTGGGAGGTAAAAGGAAACTCAGAAAAGAGAAAGAAGCCACGGGGGATTTACTATGGATGAATATGAGCAAGAACAGGTACAGTGGGAGAGTAGTTGAAGGAAGTAGGATGAAGCATGAAGAATGGATTACAAAGCCTTGTGAAAGCAGAGTTTAGGAGATACTTATGGTTTAGGCGGTTTAGGATAATTTTCAAAAGAATATTCAGATAGTATAGTGTTTATGATAAAATTTTATTGTTACATTCCTGTGTTTAGATTACCAGAATTCATTTGCTTTTTTCCTCTCTTTAAAAAAAATTGGGCCAGCACTTTAGGAGGCCAAGGCAGGCAGATTTCTTGAGTACAGGAGTTCAAAACTAGCTTGAGCAACATGGCAAAACGTCGTCTCTAAAAAAAAATTACAAAAGTTAGCCAGGTGTGGTGGTATATGCCTGTAGTCCCAGTCACTTGGGGAACTGAGACCAGAAGATTGCTTGAGCCCAGGAGACTGAGACTTCAGTGAGCTGAAATTGTGCCATTGTACTCCTGCCTGGGTGACAAAGAGAGACTGTTTAAAAAAAAAAAAAAAGATGCATAATAGATGTACGTAGTTCAGGGATACAGAATACATGGGATAATTTAATACATTCACATAATTGATGAAGATCAAATTAGTGTGCTTAAGATATCTGTCACCTTAAATATTTGTCTTTTCTTATGCTAGAAACATCTGAATTATTCATCTCCATCTATTTTAAAATGCACAAGAGATTATTGTAAACTATAGTCACCGTACTGATCTATCAAACAGTAGCTCTTATTTCTTCCATCAAACCATATATTTGACCCCATCAATCAACTTCTCTTTATCACCTCTCTCCCTTCCCCTATAATTTTCAGCCTCTGGTAACCACTGATTTACTCTTTATATTCATGAGATACAATTTTTTAGTTCTCATGTACAAGTGAGAACACGTGATATTTGCCTTTCTGTGCTTGGCTTATTTCACTTAACATAATGACCCTAAGTTCCATCTACGTTGCTGAAAATGACAAAATTTTATTTACTTTTATGGCTAAATAATATTTCAATGTGTATATATACCACATTTTCTTTATTTGTTCATAGGCACTTAGGTTGATTCCATAATTTGGCTATTGGAATAGTGCTGCAATAAATGTAGAGGTGCAGATATCTCTTTTATATATTAATTTGCTTTCTTTTGGATATATACCCAGTAATAGAATTGCTGATTATATGGTATTTCTTGTTTAAGTCTGTTGAGGAGCCTATATCCTTTTCTCCATTGTGGCTGCACTAATGCACGTTCCCAGCAACAGTGTGTATCTCTATACCCTGGCCATCAACTGTTCTTACCTGTCTTTTTGATAAAAATCATCTTAACTTAGGTGAGATGATATCTCCTTATAGTTTTGATTTGCATTTTTCTGCTGATTAGTGATGTTAGCATTTTTTTCATATACTTCTTGGCCATTTATATTTCTTCTTTCAAGAAATATCTATTCACACCTTTTCCCCAGTTTTTAATTATCGGCTATTGAGTTGTTTGAGCTCTGTATATCATGTCGTTATTAATCCCTTGTCAGATGGACAGTTTGCCAGTGAGGTCTCCCATTATGTGGGTTTTCTCTTCACTATGTTGATTGTTTATGTTGCTAACCAGAAGTGTTTAGTTTGATGGGCATCCATTTGTTTATTTTTGTTTTGGTTGGCTATGCTTTTAAGGTCTTACACAATGATCTTTGCCCAGACCAATGTCTCCAATGTCTTGAAGCATTTCTTTAATGTTCCCTTACAGTAGTTTTATAGTTTCAGGTCTTACATTTAAGTCTTTAATTAATTTGGGGTTGATTTTTGTACATAGTGAGATATGAGGGTCTAATTTCTCTATAGTTATCCAGTTTTCACAGTACCATTTATTGAAAATGCTGTCTTTTCCGCATTGTATGTTTTTGGTACTGTTGTCAAAGTTGAGTTCACTGTAGATGGATGGATTTCTTTTGAGGTTCTCTATTCTCTTCATTGGTCTGTGTATCTGTTTTTATGCCAATACCATGTTGATTTGGTTAAAATAGCTTTGTAGCAAATTTTGATGTCAAGTAATATGATGCTTTGTCCTTTTCACTCAGCACTTCTTCAGCTTTTTGGGGTATTTTGTAGATCCATATAAATTATAGATTTGTTTTTTCTAATTCTGTGAAGAATGTCAGTGCCATTTTGATAGGGATTGCATTGAATTTGTAGATTGTTTTGGATAGTTTTGCCATTTTAATAATATTAATTCTTATTCCTGAGCATGGGATCTCTCCCCTTTATGTGTGTGTGTCCTCTTTAATTTCCCTCCTCAGTATTTTACAGTCTTCCTTTTATACATGTTTCACTTCTTTGGTTAACATGATTCCTAGGTAGTTTATATTCATTGTAGCGCTTATAAATCAGATTGCCTTCTTGATTTCTTTTTCCGGATGTTCACTGTTGGCATATACAAATGCTATTGACTTTTGTATGTTGGTTTCGTATCCTGAAACCTTACTTAATTTATTCATTCTAACA